GTCGTCCAACAGTAACTGAACCTGGTGATAACCTGAGTTGGCATCAAGGAAACTCATTCGTTCATGCCCGGTTGCCCTCTCTACTAGCTTCTCAACATTTGGCAATGGATGAGGGTCTTTTGAACACGCCTCATTTAAATTGGTGAAATCAATACACATTCTCCACTTGCCATTTGGTTTTTTGACAAGCACAGGGTTGGACACCCACTCAGAGTATTCCACTCTCTTGATGAAGCTTGCCTATAGCAGCTTTTGTATCTCTTCATTTATGGCAGCTTGCTTCTCAGGGCCAAAAAGGCAACGTTTCTTCACCACCAGCCCTTTGGTGGGGTCCGTGCTGAGTTTGTGGACTGTCAACTCTGCTGGGATGCTAGGCATTTCATCCGTAGTCCATGCAAACACATTTTGGTTAACCCTCAAAAACTCTAGAAGCTCTTCTCGTTCTTCTTTTGTGAGTTTGGTGCTGATCTTGACTATTTTTTCCGGCACATCAGGATTCAAAGGGACTGTTTCTACTGGCTCTACTGGCTCTGCTTTCTATTCGACACCCTCAGGTCGATGCTCAATGTCTGATATGCTCATTGTCTGTTGACCGGGCTGAGTCAACCTATTACCTCCAGAAGGGCCTCTCGGGGCTACAGCAGCTCAACCTTCTTAAATGTATCTTGATAACAGGATCTGACCATTTTCTGATTCCCCTTTAGTATTCCTACCCCCTGGGGAGTTGGAAATTTCATACAGAGATGGGGTTGTGAAATAACAACCTTCAGTTCGCACAGGGTAGCTATTCCTAATATAGTGTTAAAAGCTGATTCCATCTTGACAACTAGAAAGTTAACAGAAGCAATCCTAAAGCGTGGTTCTGAACCCACATATATGGGAAGGGTAATAACTCCCTCAATCGGGACGGGCTGATTGTGGAAACCATATATGGGCCCCTCATACTTTTGCAGCGAGCTCGGATTCAGTTGCATCTTTTGGAAACAGCTCCAATATAAGATATTTGGCAAGCTACCAATATCGATAAACACCTTGTTAACGTTATGATTGCCTATATGAACCGTTGCCACGAAAGGATCTGCATGGGGCATTATAACGTCTGGCTCTCCTTCTGCTCGCTTGTAATTTGCCAGGCTGAATGTAATGGGCGCATTCTCCCATTCTACCTCCTCGAATGGCCGCTTCAAAGGTCTGTTCTTGTTGACGGTCATCACTTGTCGGGCATATGCTTTACGGCCTCAAGCACTTTGGCCTCCAGAGTGTATACCACCCGAGATCATGTTTATTGTGCCAGAAGTCGGGGCTATCCCAGCATAGCCTACCCCCTTCCTGTCTTTTTGGTTCTGGGTGGCAGTTCTCTGTCCTTGGCCTCGCCTATTGAATTGGCGTCCCCTGTACGCTCTGCCCTACTCAGAAGGATATTGATTATCCTG